CATCATCACAGAATGATATTATTTGCTCAAATTACAGGGCTTCGTGAACTAAATTTTGCTTAAATTATGATAGCAATTGAACACTTCATTATAGTTTCTACCGATGACCTACTATCATGATTTTAATCCGACTCCATTTACGGACGCGTTGACATATAATGCATACAACTTAATAATAGCCAATCAGACGTTAAGATATCCTTCACTTCCCCCAGGAGCAGCCCGGAAGCAGCTGAGATGCAGCCATTTAATGTTATTTATAACCAATGAGATACCGTTAACAGATTAACCACATTCCAGACGTCCAGCCTCTGACTAATCAGACCGTATCACCATGGTGATACGGTAATGAAAACAGAGGAGTTGTATGCATATAAGATAACATTTTATCTTACCTCCTATACATTTCTAGGAATATGATTGGTTAAAAGCAACCGCGTGGAGACCGTGTATATTCCATATTAGGTTAGTATGCGGGGCTTGTTTCAATACACGGTTAGTAGTGGTGTTACGTCCCTTTATAAAAATAACATGGTGTTGAGGAAAAATCTTAAAGGTTTCAACAGACAAAGAAATTGATGATGAACGATTAAAATAAATTCATAAAACTCAGTTGTTTTTGTTTGCATTTGTTTTTGTATAGACCAATGGAAGTAGGTTCTTAATACTAACGGCAATGAAGACTTGATCACTTTGATAGGCCACTAGTCTAAATACCACATGTTAAGATAGTCGGTAAGATAAATTCGTTACATAGTGTGCTAGTGACCTAATACGATATATATGGGGTCAGTAAATTCCATATTGGGATTCGAGCTTCGCTCTCACCCCATATGGAATTTACTGACCCCAAATATATCGTATTAGGTCACTAGCATTCGAGCATCGCTCTCACCCCATAAGGAATTTACTGACCCCCATATATATCGTATTAGGTCACTAGCACACTATGTAACTAATAGTACTTGCTTGAAAATATTGTGTATTAAAAGAAAGTTCTCTTTTGCATAAAAATCAGTAAAAACATGCTCAAGTTTGTCGATTGAAATTTATACATTTTCGCTACTTGCGTGAATATACATTTGTAAAAGAGGCAATTCATTTCACACTAGACTCTTAAATGTCAATCTTTACTAAACACTCACGATGTCTTTCATGAACAAAAAAGTGATAGATAAAACAAATATTTTTTTCGCCGGATGTTTTTGTAAAATTTTGCATCGCTAACCAAATTTAATTAATTTAAATCCGAAAGACATTACATTATAAACCTTCTTTATCATGGTGAATTGGTAATAACTACAATGTATGTACTTTCGAACTTATTCTTTGCAATGAGACAACTTTCCACCAGTGACCAAATGAGGTAGTTGTTATAGCAACTATAGATCATCGTATGGCCTTCACTAATAAGCAAAACCCATACCGCATAGCAAGCCATAAAAGGCCCCGACATAACAAAATGTAAAGCATTTTCAACGAGAAAACAAAAGCCTGAATTATGTATACAAAACAACAAACGAATACAAGATATGTTACACAGCAACAAACGATAACAACTGAATTACAATCTCCTGACTTGGGACAGACACATAAATACATCCATGGTTTCACAAACACTGGCGACATTACTCTTGCAAGTGTTGGACATGTCGATTCATAAACGTTGACTCTTTTCCAGCAGTAACTAACAGGTCAATCTCTCCAGTCCAGTGGTGGTTTGTGCTGTGCAATAGAGGAAAAACGATATCTTCTTCACCCTAAAAATAAATTTTAATTCCTTGCAAAATGTATCATTAAATTTATCTCTAACACAACGAAAATGCTACAATAATGCGAACTGTTTTGAATATGGAAAGGAACCAAATATTGTATCTAGCAACTTGCATATTTTATTAAATTTGGTGGAGGTTTTTCTGCACTCGGTAGATGGACATTTTATTATCTCTATTCTTTCAGAGCTCTTCTAAATCATTAAAATATGACGACCCCAGGAATACATTTTTTGATATATAAAATGTGTTGCTAGTTACTATTGCCTTGCCGGCATGAAAATTACTCCCCCCCCCCCCTAAAAAAAACCAAAAAACAACAGAACACTGCAAAGTATATGTTTTTTTACAATAGTTTTCCAGTTTTCAAAATATTTCTATTGATTCTAAATTTCTTGAAAAAGAATAATTAATATCAGCAGGGGGAGTGAAAAAAATTATGAAACAATAAAATTTACATAATTGAGTGTGAATCAAGTTGAAATGACAGCAAATATTCTACATAGATAATGTTTTATTCAATTAATACATACCTCGAACCTTTAAATCGTCATTTCTCTGTAGACCCTACATTGAGTAAAGTCGGTGCGACTTTATCCACCAGCAACATCTGTCAACAAACAAAACTTCGGATACATGTGGAGACCTTCTTGTTTCAAGAAGGTTCACATTTTCTTCATTATGACTAAGGGCTAGTTTCGACCTTGGCGTCAAATTTTTAAAATTACAGTACTGTACTTTATTGATAATATAATCACTACTGCGTACTTGCAAAATCTTCGTTTCCGCGAATATTAAGAGTTATTGATATTTCAAATTTTATCAAAGTCTCTTCCGTGATTTAAATTTTTAGTTGATTTTATTTACTGAAAATTTAAATAAACTGAACTCTAGAACAGAGCTTTTCCGAAATCAATGATTAATTATTCGAGATTCGGAAAAGAATGCTTTGTTTTTTACGGGATTTCGGTATTCAGCCTTTTTTCAGGAAATTCGGGATGACACCCTCCTGTCCCCCTCTCTCTCTCTTCAACAGACAATGTTGAGAAAAAAATATAAATGTATGAAACTTTGTGTTTGCTAGATATTCGCAATTCTTATAATATCACATTACTTGCAGATTTTTGTATTTCTGTAGGTGGAATAAAAGAAAGAAGAGAGGGGGTGTACACGACGTCCGACACTTAATCTACAATTGCATGTTCAACGTTACTAAACACTTTTATTACTGAAACAGTTAGATATATCAATAATGACAATGTAAACTTTTTTTTTCAAATATCGAACACTAGTTCCCAACTTAATCTCTAAATATATCCGTTTGGAATATTTTCCCCCATATTGATAGCTATTTGAAGTCAGTTCGTAGGACCTCAATTTTATGTATAGGCGTGGCAATCCATCACTTTTATCCAATCAACTGTCTTTTATGATAAAGATTGGCGTGCGATTGTAGTTGAAACAATGTAATTTATATAATGACATTTTAATAGTTTTAAGACCCAGTTACATCAACATCAAAAGGTAAATGTACTTTATTGAAGAAGCTGTGGACTACTGGTTCAAAATACAATTGATTTAGACAAGTTGCTTTGTAACCACTGTCATGATGTTGGGTGTAAATATATATCAATGATCCTAAAATAAAGATACCACGGGTACAGTTAAGTCTGCATTACATTCAGAAATTGAAAACGAGGATTGGTTGACATCTAAAAGTTTTACGAAATGGCGATGATTTCAATTTTCCCAGCGTGAACTTTCCATTTCAGTGAAGTGATAATCCAGCTGCGCCTGCACAATGAATATATATATACGATACGATACGATATTATAGGGCTTCCTATCCAATTTCTTGATAGAGGGTTGCTGCTTGCAAAGATGCTGTTTTACCAAGGGTTTCGAATGGTAAAGTTGAATGCATCCCGTTGAAAATTTTACGGACCCTTTGCCTTGTTTTAATGGGTTCGTGTTTTTAACAAACTTTATAACATAGCTTTCAGTAGTATATTAAAGTGCGATCTTTGTTGGCTTTCCGTAAGCGCAAGGAAACATGATAGATTAATGTAGGATTTTTGAATTTTGCATTTCGAATTTTGAATTTTGAATTTCGAATTTCGAATTTTGAATTTTGAATTTCGAATTTTGAATTTTGAATTTTGAATTTTGAATGATCCTTCTCGACTTTCGTACTTTTCTAATATTATTAAATTGTAGGAAGAAAATATGAGTTCAAATTTATAAATGTTTACATCTTCATGACAAAAGAGGGAAGCAGATTTTTTCTAGCATTTTGTAAAAGCTACATGATATATACTTAGTAATATAATGGTATTCGTCACTGATTTCCATCGAGACGCAGAGAGGACACATCCTTTCGCTCCTAGGTAAATTGCGCCGTTTCCTGGTATCTACTGGCAATCGGTGACAATATCAGCAGGGGAAGTGAAAAAAATTATGAAACAATAAAATTTACAATATTGAGTTTGAATCAAGTTGAAATGACAGCAAATATTCTACATAGATAATGTTTTATTCAAATAATACATACCTCGAACCTTTAAATCGTCATTTCTCTGTAGACCCTACATTGAGTAAAGTCGGTGCGACTTTATCCACCAGCAACATCTGTCAACAAACAAAACTTCGGATACATGTGGAGACCTTCTTGTTTCAAGAAGGTTCACATTTTCTTCATTATGACTAAGGGCTAGTTTCGACCTTGGCGTCAAATTTTTAAAATTACAGTACTGTACTTTATTGACAATTTAAATTCTCCCTCATGAATTCGTCCGAATTTAAAACATTTCTATACTAAATACATGGCTAAATAAGAGACAAGTCATAATTTAGGTTTGTTTGCTCGCAGTAACTTTCTTATTTTCTCAGCGAAACAACATTTAATATCTTGTAAACATTTTACAAATTACAAAAATATACCACAATTCCATCTATATACATTCACAATGTCCTCTAAATACATATCAATACAAACATAACTGTAATATATTATGCAGAGCTTAACGTTAACTTCGTCTATCAAAGTTACTGGAGCACATCGATAATAATCAAACGTAATCAGGACTTATATATGCCTATAAAACCCCACCCGTACTACCGCCCTCGAAATATTCGTGCAGAAAACAACAGTAACATCAGACCACTTCTGATTTACATACTAGCCAAACTTGTACCACAAGTCTAAAGATAGAAATAGAATAGGTAAATTCCAAATATAACGGAATAGAAATAAATTTAAATTCTCCCTCATGAATTCGTCCGAATTTAAAACATTTCTATACTAAATACATGGCTAAATAAGAGACAAGTCATAATTTAGGTTTGTTTGCTCGCAGTAACTTCGATAAAACAAAGGAATAAATAATTTGAGAACTATATGCCAAGATTCAAGGAAACAGCCATTTGAGATTTTAAATTGTCTTTAATATACCCATCTTTGGCTTTATCAGAAGCCCATCTACCGTGGACTTTAAGTAACCTATCAGAGACTCCTCTATTAGCCCCCGTAGAAGCGCCACCACTTCTCAAACTTTGAAGCCCAAACTTAAGCTTATCTAAACCAATATCTGATAAACTCTCTAACAAAATTTCTCTCGCTCTGGTATAGGACAATGGACTATTTATATTACATAATTTATAAACATCTTTCGATTTCATAAAAGACAGTGCTCTGAAAATATAGCTATCAGAATTTTTGCTCAATTCAGCTAAATTGATATACTTATTTAACCAAAAAACTGGACATAAATCTGTACCTGTTGCAGCTATAACAACAGAATTACCCTTTCTGTATAAATCAGTTTTGCTTTTATCAATGCGAATTTTAACATGACTGACTTGAAACTCAATATTATTCATCTTAATGTTAGCCAATTCACTATACCTCAAAAATCCAGAAAATCCTAACAGAAATAATACTACTACACGCAATTTTTTGAGATTATTATGATCTCCGAACTTCAAAACAATTTTCCTTAATATATCTGGCGTAATAGGTTCTTTTTTGTTTATAGGTTTACTTAGCAATCTCCTCCCTCCTTCATAAATAAGACCAAGGAATTTGTCTGAACAAGGATTATGTTTGAAATTAAAGTCATGAAACCATTTTATTGAATAAAAACTTGCATCTAAAATCGCAACACTGGATCCCTGTTGAATGAGTCCACCTATATACATAGAAATCGTAGTAGTTGTCGCTGGTAAACACTCAAGTGAACATGAAACACACCATTTTTCAAACTTTTTAAAATAGCACTTGTATTTCTTAATTGTAGAATTTGATCTAGACGATTCGACAAAAGAGGGTAAATCTCGTATGATACTGGCAAATCTCGAATCATTGGCATAACACTCAAATTGTTTCCATTGATCTGTAAAATAAATATAATAATGAATACCAAGTAATAACTATAAACAAAGTAAATATAATTAACATTACTACTATAAATGAATGCGGCATTTCCCTCGCAAACAACCCAGTGCGGCATTTCCCTCGCAAACAAATGAATGCGGCATTTCCCTCGCAAACAAATGAGTGCGGCATTTTCCTCGCAAACAAATGAATGCGGCATTTTCCTCGCACACTTACTGTGGCATTCAACCTCACAGTATCTAAAAAAGTCATATACTTATATATATACAGTGGCATTAACCCTCACTGTATTCATAAACAATTAATCAACAATGTTAACAATGACATATCTAATTGTTGCAGTTAAAACATCACAATGTTAAATTTAACATTCTTACGAATATAGTCTCATATCTGATAACTGCGGCAAATAACCATCGCAGAAAACTAAATCAACTACAGTCTGTATACAACATTCAATGCATAAATCTCAATACTTCGAGAAATCCAACAACAAAACATATACTTTACTGTTAAAAGGTCTCTGTGCAAATATACTCTTTTCTTGTGAACCTTTTGTAAAAAAGTTCATAGGTTTTACGTACTCTCTAAAGTCTATAACAAAAGATTTAAATCTGTCTGAAAACCTATTCACTAAGATAGGCCAAAATAACGCTGATGGTCATTTAGGTACAACTAAAGTGCCTTTAGCTTTACATAACCGCATGTGATTTAAACACTTGCTAACTAATCAAACTGGTGGAACTAACCAGTTATTATGAGCAGACCAATCATATGCGAAAGCATCAACCCCGGAAGTATCTGGTGAATAATATCTAGAATTAAAATAGTCTACTTTTTTGTTTTTCGAATCTGCAAAACGATCGCATGTGAATGGTCCCCATAATTTATCAAAATATATAAAAATTTGATAGGAAACACCCCAATCGTCATAATCAAAAATTTTGCTCAGATAATCTGCATAAGTATTTTTATCTCTAGGTATCCATTCAACATCCAAGAAAATATTATGTGACAAACAAATATGAAATAAGCTTAAAGCAATGTCTTGTAATTCTACTTTCATGCTACCTTTTTTAACAATCTGTACTACATTTTGGTTATCTGTATAAAGTTTAACAAATTTTCCTGTTAAATCAGATTTAAAAGAAGAAATATTCTTTTCTACAGTTTTCAATTCTCTCCATGTAGAACTTTTGTTTCTTTCATGACCATCAAACATAAAATCATAAAATGTACAATTTTGTTATCATTCGTTATAAACCCTGCTCCGGCATACTGACTAGCGTCAGTGAAAATTACACGCTGTGGTATTCTATTTATAGGTACAATGCGTTGGAAAGATAATGACTCGCATTCAAAATACCAAAATTTTAGTTCCTTCAAAATGTTGTCATTTATAGGGATGACATCGTCCCATGCAGATCTACAACAGACTAGCATATGCATATGCTTCGTCATCATTTGACAAACGTTACCAAGAGCAGGAATCATAGAAATGATTTTTCCACATATTTTAGCAATACATCTATAAGTCAAAATAGTTTTGCCATCTACTACGCTCGATATTACCAGCTTTAAAGCAAATAATTTTTTAAGCGATATTTCTAAAGTACAATCTTTAAAGTTCCAAACAAAACCTAACCAATCAATATTTTGTACTGGTTCCCAGACACTCTTTTCTGTATTAGCAATAAAACCGGAAAGCAGTAAATCATTTTTTACTGTTTTCGATAATTCAAAACATGTATCAAAATTTTCTGCTGTACCCATACCATCATCTAAATAAACCACCATGGGAAATCCTAAAGATCTCCAGTATTTAACTAACACACGTACTGTCTTGGTAAATATATGACCAGCTGATGAAAGTCCAAAAGGCAAAACCGAAAAAGTAAAATAACGCACTGTATCACCATATTGCCAAGAAAATCCTAAATATTTTTGATGATCAGGGTGAATTTCTATATGGTGATAACCAGACTTTAAATCAAATTTAAACCCAAAACCGCTAAAATTTACAAATGTCATAGCTTCTTAAACCCCTTCAAATTTAACTTTTTGTTTCTCGACAAATTTATTAACATGTCTCAAATCTAAGACTAATCTTTCTTTACCCGTACTATTTACCGACACAGTAAGTGGATTAAGTATTAGATACAATACAAAGGTAACAAAGAAACAGGCCGGTAACAACCGTTGCCGGATAGTTTTTCTGCACGAGTAGTCAGGTCAAGGTCCGAGGCGATAGCCGAGGACCTTGACCTGACTACAAGTGCAGAAAAACTATACGGCAGGTTGTTTCCGGCCTGTTTTTTTGTTACTTTTGTTTTGTATCTGACTTGTACGACGTTTCAAGAAAGTAATAATACATTTTGCAAGACTAAACATTGGAGAAACTTAGATAGCCATAAAGCAGTAAATGTAAGTTATAGTATAAACACACTTTTTTTTCATTTCCCTTCAACCGAGAGTTTTTTTCAAGAAAAAAATCAGGAATCTAATAATTTGATAAAAAAGAACCATATAAAGTAAAAGATGAATGTTGTACACATTTAAGACTTTTTAAAATGCAACTTCGTAAAAAAGTAATATATTAAAGAATCATTTTAGTGGTAAGTAAGCTAACGTTTGATTTTTATGGATGAAACGGAAAGCGGGGAGGGGGGCCTAATTTAATTTAAAATAAACAGGCTGTGATCTTTATTTTGATGAAAAAATGCAGAATGTGCCATTCCATCCCCCCATTCCCCCTTTGAAAAAATCGTAAAAATCGCACGTTTGTTGCCAAATACATGAATTAATATTCAGTGGTGGGGGTCCCGGGGGTAGTAACACCCCTTTTTTGAACGATCAATACATTTAAATGGGGACATATAGTTGGACCCCCCCCCCTGTTTTGTCCTGGATTGGGAACCCCCTTTTTTAAAAATGCTGGATCCGCAACTGATATATATGTATATATAAATTCAATAACAATATAAATGTATCAAAAGAATGAATTTCCTACTTCATTAGTGAATGAAATGTTATGAAAAAATGGATTTTGTCTTAATATTATATATATTCAGGCATATACTTTGATTTTTTTTTAAATTCATGCTCGTCTCTAGATCTGCAAGTGTTGATCGGGATTAAACACGTGTTACTATATGGTCCAATCGCAGCTTACCGTCCAAAATTGATGACATAAGTTGAATGATTTTCTTCTAGATTTGCTGCTTATTTGGACGTGTATTACACGAACACTTTTTTTTATAGGATCAATCGTGCATTGGTGAGTTGATAGGGATTTTATCTTTTGATAAGATTTGATTTTTATTTACTTATTTCCTGTCTTTTTTATTGAAATATGAACGTCGGTATCATCATTTCTTTACTTTCAGCATTGTCCAAAATACTATTCATGTCCATATATCGAAGAACACATTTATTGACCGATTATTTTGCTTCATAAATGGGGCGGTTCTTTTCTGAGTATATTAACTATTTACTTTTCAACGCCATCACCCAAATATTTTTGTTTAAATTAGCACTATACGGTATTCGGAAAATCAGGAATCATGCAGAACATTAATTTGTCATCTGCTTGACCATAGTAAATTTTTTCTCATAAAATTTGGGATCAAAATATCTTTTTTTAGGAGAAAACCATACCCCCCTTTTTGAAGTTAAATGTCTAATCCCTTAGTGTACTGATATGAATAGTATTTTACTGAAAATGTTTGAAAAAAGATATTGATGCTAACGTAAATATTTTGTTTAATAAAAAGACAGGAAATATGTCGGTGAACCAAAAAGTTCAAATCTAATTGAAAGTTAAAGTGCCCATGAACTCACTGATCATGCACGAGTGAATCTATTCATAAAAAGTGTCCGTGTAACAACTAAAAAGAGTCCGTGTATCATCTAAAAAGAGTCCGTGTAACACCCGTTAATGTACTGTTTTTCTATAGCTCTGCGGGGGGCAAAGTTGTACAACGACAAATGGTCGATTTACTTCTTTTATACATTTTTTAGTTAAAAGTTCTTCAATAGAATTTTCCACAAATTCTGAGTGTTTTAACGCGGATCTATTATTACTTAGAAAAATAGTCGGTGGTTCACTCAGAAAAGGAATTCTATAACCAAAATTAATAACATTCATTATAAAATCATTAGCGTTAAGTACATTTTTCCAAAACAATGCATGTTTTCTTAAATTTCCTTTCACATTTATAAGATTTTGACAAGATTTTTTCTCATACTTGTTAACAAATTGAAAACAATACTCAACTTCATCTATGTCTGTATCTGTTTTGTTACTGGGTCTTTCCTGTGTTCTGTTCCTGGAACTTTGGTGCACCAACTGTCGCTGTAGGAATCCTTTTTTCGGGGCAGTTCCTTGCAAAGTGCCCGGGCTGGTTACAATAGAAACACTTGTAACTTTCTGACTTGCCTGCTTTGGAGAACTCGGTATCACTGACTTGGCCAAGGCCACGAAAAAACTCCTGGAATTGAATTCTCCTTTTCCAGAACCACTATTGGAAGATTCTGGTTTACTGTACGGCTTGGAACTTCTTTTACGAGAAGCCCTGGAAATAGCAGCACGCAAATCACTAGCATCTTCTTTATTGTCGGCCAACGGACTATCCAAGTACTCTTTAACCGTGTCCCATCCATGCTTGTCGGCTATCTTTAGAATTTTGTTACGCTTACGGATGATTTCCTTTTCCTGGGTAATAATTTCACTAACTTCGGAAGCGTTTCCAAGCTTTATACAACTTTCAACGGCAGCAAGCCTCTCCAGACGCTCGGTATTAAACGAATGTTGCACTTTAATTCCCTCACTTTGGAATACAAATTCTGGTTGGTCGACACCGGTTGCTTTAACACTTTTTCCTAAACGAGCTTCGAAATGATTAATCAAGGAATGTTTTTGCTTCTCTAAAGCATTGTTTAAAGCTGAAGTGAAAAGCGAAATAGCCCCGTCCGTACTTAACTCTGTTTCGTTACTATTTTCAGCATGTTGAGTAGTAGCACGGCGTTCATCATGGTCGGAGCCTTCCTCGGACATATTATGCAGAGCTTAACGTTAACTTCGTCTATCAAAGTTACTGGAGCACATCGATAATAATCAAACGTAATCAGGACTTATATATGCCTATAAAACCCCACCCGTACTACCACCCTCGAAATATTCGTGCAGAAAACAACAGTAACATCAGACCACTTCTGATTTACATACTAGCCAAACTTGTACCACAAGTCTAAAGATAGAAATAGAATAGGTAAATTCCAAATATAACGGAATAGAAATAAATATAATCACTACTGCGTACTTGCAAAATCTTCGTTTCCGCGAACATTAAGAGTTATTGATATTTCAAATTTTATCAAAGTCTCTTCCGTGATTTAAATTTTTAGTTGATTTTATTTACTGAAAATTTAAATAAACTGAACTCTAGAACAGAGCTTTTGCGAAATCAATGATTAATTATTCGAGATTCGGAAAAGAATGCTTTGTTTTTTTCGGGATTTCGGTATTCAGCCTTTTTTCAGGAAATTCGGGATGACACCCTCCTGTCCCCTCTCTCTCTCTTCAACAGACAATGTTGAGAAAAAAATATAAATGTATGAAACTTTGTGTTTGCTAGATATTCGCAATTCTTATAATATCACATTACTTGCAGATTTTTGTATTTCTGTAGGTGGAATAAAAGAAAGAAGAGAGGGGGTGTACACGACGTCCGACACTTAATCTACAATTGCATGTTCAACGTTACTAAACACTTTTATTACTGAAACAGTTAGATATATCAATAATGACAATGTAAACTTTTTTTTCAAATATCGAACACTAGTTCCCAACTTAATCTCTAAATATATCCGTTTGGAATATTTTCCCCCATATTGATAGCTATTTGAAGTCAGTTCGTAGGACCTCAATTTTATGTAGGCGTGGCAATCCATCACTTTTATCCAATCAACTGTCTTTTATGATAAAGATTGGCGTGCGATTGTAGTTGAAACAATGTAATTTATATAATGACATTTTAATAGTTTTAAGACCCAGTTACATCAACATCAAAAGGTAAATGTACTTTATTGAAGAAGCTGTGGACTACTGGTTCAAAATACAACTGATTTAGACAGGTTGCTTTGTAACCACTGTCATGATGTTGGGTGTAAATATATATCAATGAACCTAAAATAAAGATACCACGGGTACAGTTAAGTCTGCATTACATTCAGAAATTGAAAACGAGGATTGGTTGACATCTAAAAGTTTTACGAAATGGCGATGATTTCAATTTTCCCAGCGTGAACTTTCCATTTCAGTGAAGTGATAATCCAGCTGCGCCTGCACAATGAATATATATATACGATACGATACGATATTATAGGGCTTCCTATCCAATTTCTTGATAGAGGGTTGCTGCTTGCAAAGATGCTGTTTTACCAAGGGTTTCGAATGGTAAAGTTGAATGCATCCCGTTGAAAATTTTACGGACCCTTTGCCTTGTTTTAATGGGTTCGTGTTTTTAACAAACTTTATAACATAGCTTTCAGTAGTATATTAAAGTGCGATCTTTGTTGGCTTTCCGTAAGCGCAAGGAAACATGATAGATTAATGTAGGATTTTTGAATTTTGCATTTCGAATTTTGAATTTTGAATTTCGAATTTTGAATTTTGAATTTTGAATTTTGAATGATCCTTCTCGACTTTCGTACTTTTCTAATATTATTAAATTGTAGGAAGAAAATATGAGTTCAAATTTATAAATGTTTACATCTTCATGACAAAAGAGGGAAGCAGATTTTTTCTAGCATTTTGTAAAAGCTACATGATATATACTTAGTAATATAATGGTATTCGTCACTGATTTCCATCGAGACGCAGAGAGGACACATCCTTTCGCTCCTAGGTAAATTGCGCCGTTTCCTGGTATCTACTGGCAATCGGTGACTACCACATCCTAATTTACAAAGGATCTGCATGGTGACATTTCAAAATGGAGTTTTGAATATTCTATAGCACAATACCTCTAGAGACTTGAACATTTCTGAATACTATATTTGTATAAATTTATCTTTTAGTTTTTGAATCCATATTGACGAAAAGTCAGATTAGTAATGCCAATTATCTGAAATACCACAATCATCTGAAATATTCTTTATACATTTTAGCTACTTCGATTCATTACCATACCCTGTGTAATAAAAGTATAAAAATGTATATGAAAATGAGGAACATTTTGTTTCGATTCCTCTAACCAATCAACACCAAAAATGTATCATACGTTTCTTTATGTGAAGTGATAAAGGAACTAACCCTCGACCACCATATACAATAAAGCAGGGTGTTTATTGCTTCAAAAGCAATATAGTTTTACAAAATCGTAATTGCATACTTTCAAGAACATCTAAATATTCAAAACCCCAGATTTCTGATTCAAATAATTTGACAGTTTCTACTAGTTTTTCAAACAAATAAATTTGAATTTCAACGAATCAGTATTTTTACCTACATTTCTTCAATAATCCATACATAAATTTGGAAGTTGTTTTCTTTTAGATACTTCTTGTAGATAGATATGGTCCACTTTTATTTCTTTATATCCTACATTTTGAAAAAAAAATCTAAATTTTGTTATCAACATTTGCTTAATGTATCCATACTAAACAATATAGTTAACAAATATCAAGCATTAGTTGTAAATTTTCAACAGATTCTGATAAAATAATGGTATATTGTACATGTACTCTTTTAATATTTTATGTTATTTAAATATGATTGCAAATCATTAAGAATTGTAAAAATAATACAAGGGAAAAACATGTTCCTATCTGACTCCAATTTTAGAAAGATTTTCGATGTTTCACTGTAAAAGTTAAAACACGATTTTACATTTTCATAAATATTTTATATAATTCTTTAGAAATTATTAGTTATATTTGTTTGAACATATTTAAAAAAAAAATGAAAAAAATCCGTTAAACAGAGTAAAAAATCGACAAAACAACACTAAACTTAATCTTTCTGTGAGAGAGAGAGAGTTATTCAAATAAATGCATATAGAAAAAGATATGCAGAAAGAGTATCCAAGACGAAAACCAGCTTACTTTTCATGCAATCATTTACATTCTTCAATACAAAAAAAAATAATGTATTGTTAAAACACTTCCAAAATAAGATAACTAAATAATAGGTCTGTAATGTTTGTGGTTCATCTTGTCTCCTTTGTTTTTGTGAACTGGTATCATGTTACTAAAAACCATGCTTTAGGCAAAATTCCTAAACATAAATATCTATCATACTATACAAAGATGGACAACACATTCATTAATTACTTTATCTTCACCTGGTGCTTTATTTTTTTTAGCATTTTTTAAACCTTTTTTACTTTATCTGTAGTATTTTTCTATTCCAAATTTCATTTAAATTTTTCCTTATCCATGTTATTTTGCATAATATTATCATCTCTTTTGTCATATTTGTGTTCAATCGAATCTTTGAAGAAATTCTAGAGAAATATTTAATTTCTTTCTTTTTCTGTCATGATCTAAACATTTTCTATAACTTATTGGAATTTTTCTTCTTTTTTTGCATGTCGTGATTGATGGTGATAACATTTTCGTCCATAATATTCTTATGATAGATTTAAGCAGTTTTAACTCTATATTCGAAGAAATTTGACTCATAATGTTTATATAGACGTTTATCTTTCCGAAGATCTATTCTAGCTTTCAGTCAGAACTACACCATAACTTGTTTGATTGATTTTTTGCATTTTTAAAAATATTGTCCATTTTGTCAAATTACAAACTTAGACTAGTTTGGATTCATCAATAGTTGATTTTTGTAAAACAACTAAATCCTAGATATTTGTTCACAAATAATTTCTGGAAAACTGATTGTGGCTTTTCAGTACAAAAATCAAAATATGAAGTAACAGTAAAACATGCAATGCAATGGAAAACTGCATATTCGAGCTACAAACATGATGACCACTTACTTGAAACAAAGAAATGAAATATAGAAAAGACGACACCTGATATGAAAAGCATTTTTAAAACGTGTGCATTACTAAGGAAAACAATTGCAAAGTTTTATAGAAAAGATGTCAATGTAAATCTAAACTGACAAATATGAAAGATGGTTATTCCAAAAATAAAATTATCTTAAAGAAAATGTAAACATAGAAGGTTATATAAACATTTATTTTTTTTGAAAATTTTGGATTACAAAATTACAAAAATACTGTATTCGGAAAAACGATTATTTTGGAAAAAAGTGACTATACGATTTTTTAAAGACAGGGTGGGAAAAAGTAGACACATGCATGTTGAATTTAAGACCCGTTCCAACTGTGCGTAATATGGGGAGATTAAACAAAAAATTAGGACGATTTTTTGTGTATTTGTAGCCGCACTATAAACGCTCTTCGATATAACAATATTACTACATTTTGTACCTTAAAATGTAAATTGTAAGTTAAAAAAACAAGTTTAATGGCATGAAAGAAAACTTTCTTACAGAGCTGCGATTCACATCTAAAAGTTAACTGTCGTATAAATAAGATGACAACAGAAGACTTACAAGTCCTTACATCTGACGTCATAATAGTGGTTGCATGCCAGACAACTTGTCAATGTCAGCCTTACTTTAAATAGGGTGTGCACAACTAAGCTTTTGATATGAAACAACGTTCGTATTTGTAACAACAGCATTTTCAAAGCAAAACTATGGTGGCCGCATGCGGCCATTTCGCCTTTTCGCGTTTTCTCCTTTCACTTTCACGCGAAATCGAGAAATCGAGAAATCGAGAAATCGGGAAATCGAAAAATCGGGAAATCGAGAAATCGAGAAATCAAGAAAGCGAAAACGAGAGAACGCGAAGGCGAAAACGCGAAAACGGGAAATGCATTTCTCGATTTCGCAGTTTCGCTTTCTCGATTTCTCGATTTCCTGATTTCCCGATTTCTCGATTTCGCTTTCTCGATTTCTCGATTTCCCGATTTCTCGATTTCGCTTTCTCGCTTTCTCGATTTCTCGATTTCCCGATTTCCCGATTTCTCGATTTCTCGATTTCTCGATTTCGCGTTTGTAAAGTGAAAGGAGAAAACGCGAAAACGCGAAAAGGCGAAATGGCTGCATCCGGCCACCATACAAAACAA